GTCCCAAATTTCTTTTGTCGAATCACAACTTGAAATTCTATTATACTCCTTAGAGTCTAATCCACAAACAAGGGTGAGTTTGGTTTTAGCATTGACTTGCAATAATTTATGATCTCTCTCATCACATTCATCTTCAGTTTTAAGTACACTAATATTGTCTACTAATTTGGTAGGAATTTTTGGACCTTTGGTGACAATAATCCACATGGCATAATCATTGGCTTGTAGGCATAGGGTTATCTTATCATTCCAATGACTATAGTTGCTTCCGTCAAACAATGGTGGCCTATTTGTGACTTGTCCTTCAGCTAAGGTTGCTATGGATCGAAATTCCTAGATGGCTAAATCTAAAACAAGAGTCTAGACTTTGATACTAATTGTTATCCAAAAGACAACCTAAGAGGGGGGTGAATTTGGTTTTTACAACTAAAATTAATAATACCCTAATAAAAATTATGACTAGCACAATAAATAAATATAATTAATGAAATAAAAATAATTAAAATAAATATTTTAACAACTATGTCAGTTAATGATTTTAGTACACTAAAAATGTGAATTATAGCTATGACATTTTAAAATAAAATAAAGAGATAAGGGAGAGAGAGACAAACAAATTTATAGTGGTTCGGCTTCAACTTGGCCTACATCCTCTCCTCAAGCTTCACTTGAGATTTTCCACTATTTTCTAGCTTCACAGGGGTGCTAGCAACCTCTTTACAAATGGAGCAATCCTCCACAGATTTTGCACAGACTTTACAAGTTAAAACCCTTGCAAATCTTAGGTGATTCACAATCACTCTCAAGAATTCAAGAATACAGTGTTTGCAATACTTTTACAAGATGAAATGGTATTTTTGCTTTCAAAGAAAGCTTACAATAAATATCTCTCAAAGATAGATATATAAAATGAAGTTTTGATTTTTCTATAAATCTCACACAGGAAAGATGGGCTTAAAGGTATAAGGCTCAGTGTATAATTTTTTAGAATAGATGTGAGTAATTATAGTCAAGATTGAGTGGAAATCATTTCTATGGTGAGCTAAAAAAAATTGTTTCAAAAATACCCTGACGACAATTGGGGTTATGGAGAGCGGAGGATGGAGGCCGGTGGTGAAACAAAGAAACAGAGTGATTGGAAGGAAGCATGGAGGTAGAGGTAGATTGATCACAGTGTTTGTGGATAACTTACCTGAATCCATTGATCCAAGAGGTCTTTTCATGTTATTTAATAAGTTTGGAGTTGTAAGGGATGTTTTTATTCCAAATAAAAGAAGAAGGATATACAGTACAAGGTTTGGATTTGTGCGTTATGACTGCTTAGTGGCTGCAAATGTGGCAATTCAAAAAGCGAATGGATTGTGGGTGGATGATAGAGCCATAAAGGTTAAGGAAGCTGATTTTAATAGTGACCAACGTAGATTGGTGAATCAGCCTACGATTGGAGTCACGAACACATCCAAACAAAAGGTTGCTTTTGAGGGTGGAACGGTCCAAAATAACAGAGGAGTAAGGAAAACATTTGCAGAAGTACTCACTGGCAAAAGGGAGGTAGGTCAATCAAGGTTAGTGGTAAAAACGCGGGAGGTGGGAAACGCCTGGTTATACGAGAGTGTGATCATTAGATTACATTACCATGTCACGAAGGCTGAGTTCAAGCATGAATCTCGGAGTAGGGGACTGAGGCAGGGAAGAATTAGAGATGGGGGAGGTAGGGATATTGTTATCACTTTCAGCTCAACCGAGGAGAAAGCAGAGGGAGTGAGACTAATGCAAGGTTGGCTACATAAGTGGGGTGAGTTTGTGTTGGATTGGAAAGCTGGTATGCATATTGAGCAAGAGAGATGCACTTGGATCTCATGTTATGGAGTTCCTTTGAGTCTGTGGAGTGCAGAAACTTTTACTTCCATTGGAAGGTTATGGGGGGAAGTGGTTGAGTTGGACGAAGATATTGAAGACCCGATGTCTTTCGTCTGCAGCAAAGTTAGGATTATCACGAAATGCATGGAGGCTATCAATGTGGTGATTAGTCTGGAATCCAGCAGTGGAGTGTACCCAGTGAGAATTTGTGAAGAGCAACTGGTGTTTTCAAGATGCATGAATCTGGATAGCCATACTTCTGCAGGGATACATAGCCATGGTGGGAAAAGTGATGGTGCTTCAGTATTCGGCCATTGCAGAGATGAGGGTGAAGCTGAGGTGGCACCACAAATGGAGGATGCAGTGGACAAAAAAGCTGATGTGGACAAGGCCCAAGGGGTTAGCTTAAGTGAAGTGGGAAGTGGTGGAAGTGTGAGCTGGCAAAATGCTTCGGTGGTGGCTGAGACTGTGGAAAGTATTGGAAATTCAAATGAAGGCTCCGATAAGATGGTTGGTTCAGAATCGACAGCTGCGAAAAGGTACAATGATGATATAGGTGTGAGGCTCGATGGGCAGTTGGATGGGCATGTGATTACATTTGGCTTTATAAAGAGCTTGAGTGTAACAGATAAGAGTTGGCCTGAAGTCCAGCTAGAAGTGTGTTTTTCTCAGGCCCATTTGAGAAAGCTTGTGTATGGTGGGCCGATAGTGCCTTACTCCAGTCAGGGCAATGGGTTGGGTTTAGTGGGGCAGAACTTTAGTGAGACAAAGGATCTGGCCCATGAAAGCAGCTGTGGGCCGATAGAGAGGGGCACTACACAGCAATTGTTGAAAGCTGCTTCTTCAGTCCGTAAGAAGGCTCGGCAAAGGCAGAAAAATTTGAAGCAGCCAAGTTTTTCAAGAAGAAGAGGGCAAAGTGAGTCATTAGCAAGAAGACACTCCCAAAAGGAGGCTTTGTTCCGATCGGCTTCAGCAGCTCTGTCCAGATCTTTAGCTAACAAAAGGAATAGCAGGTCTTCAAATGATGCTCTGATTTTAAATGAAGCTCAGGCAACCGTGTGTATGGGTAAACTACTTGGGGTGGAGTTTGGGCAAGATGAAGCAAGTATTATTAATCGGATTGTACAACTCGAACAGCAGGACAAAGAAAAAGTGGGGACTCCAATTGGTGCATCTGGGTAAACCAGTATGTAGGTGCTCTCAAGTGTGGTTAGCTGTTTCAATGAAGATTCTTTCATGGAATATTCGAGGGTGGGGTCGGCCAGAAAAGAGGGGCAAAATCAAGAAAGTAGTAAAGGAAAGAAAGATTGGGATGCTTTTTTTACAGGAATCAAAGAGATTGCTGTTATCAGAATGGGATATTAGATCCATATGGGGAAGTACTCGGTTTGAATATATGGAGGTTGGATCTCAAGGTAGTGCGGGTGGCATAATCTGTGTCTGGGATCCTGAATTTTTTCAACTGCAGGAATGTTGTGGTAACCGGAATTTCCTTCTTCTAAAAGGTACTATTTATAATTCATTTAATTGTGTTTTGATGAATGTGTATGCTCCTACTGATGTTAGTAAGAGGGGGAGGTTGTGGGAAGTTATTAAACAGCTTAGAAGTATTTTTCCTAGCCCT